ACCCAGGGTGCGCTGGGAAGACAACATCCGACAGTCCCTGACTGACAGAGGACTGGAATGGAACAAAGCCAGAAAGAAAACTGCTGATAGAGACGTCTGGCGATCTCTCTGGCAAACCTCTACACCCCAAGGTAGAAGAGGAGCGACTAAGTAAGTAAGTAAGGGATGGATAGATTAGCAGGGTGGGATGGATAGATTAGCAGGGTGGGATGGATAGATTAGCAGGGTGGGATGGATAGATTAGCAAGGTGGGATGGATAGATTATCAGGTTGGGGTGAATAGATTAGCAGGGTGGGATGGATAGATTATCAGGTTGGGGTGATAGATTAGCAGGGTGGGATGGATAGATTATCAGGTTGGGGTGATAGATTAGCAGGGTGGGATGGATAGATTAGCAGGGTGGGATGGATAGATTAGCAGGGTGGGATGGATAGATTATCAGGTTGGGGTGAATAGATTAGCAGGGTGGGATGGATAGATTATCAGGTTGGGGTGATAGATTAGCAGGGTGGGATGGATAGATTAGCAGGGTGGGATGGATAGATTATCAGGTTGGGGTGATAGATTAGCAGGGTGGGATGGATAGATAAGCAGGGTGGGATGGATAGATTAGCAGGGTGGGATGGATAGATTAGCATGGTGGGATGGATAGATTAGCAGGTTGGGGTGATAGATTAGCAGGGTGGGATGGGTAGATTAGCATGGTGGGATGGGTAGATTAGCAGGGTGGGATGGATAGAGTAGCAGGTTGGGGTGATAGATTAGCAGGGTGGGATGGATAGATTAGCAGGTTGGGGTGATAGATTAGCATGGTGGGATGGATAGATTATCAGGTTGGGGTGATATATTAGCAGGGTGAGGAGTATGGATTAGCAGGGTGGGATGGATAGATTAGCAGGGTGGGATGGATAGATTAGCAGGGTGGGATGGATAGATTAGCAGGGTGGGATGGATAGATTAGCAGGGTGGGATGGATAGATTAGCAAGGTGGGATGGATAGATTATCAGGTTGGGGTGAATAGATTAGCAGGGCGGGATGGATAGATTAGCAGGTTGGGGTGATAGATTAGCAGGGCAGGATGGATAGATTAGCAGGTTGGGGTGATAGATTAGCAGGGCAGGATGGATAGATTAGCAGGTTGGGGTGATAGATTAGCAGGGCAGGATGGATAGATTAGCAGGTTGGGGTGATAGATTAGCAGGGCAGGATAGATAGATTAGCAGGTTGGGGTGATAGATTAGCAGGGCAGGATGGATAGATTAGCAGGTTGGGGTGATAGATTAGCAGGGCAGGATGGATAGATTATCAGGTTGGGGTGATAGATTAGCAGGGTGGGATGGATAGATTATCAGGTTGGGGTGATAGATTAGCAGGGTGGGATGGATAGATTAGCAGGGTGGGATGGATAGATTAGCATGGTGGGTTGGATAGATTAGCAGGTTGGGGTGATAGATTAACAGGGTGAGGTGATAGATTAGCAGGTTGGGGTGATAGATTAGCAGGGTGAGGAGTATGGATTAGGAATCACGGTTGGATCCCGACAGTGAAAATATGACGTCATATTTGCGCAAAACTTCTTTCTCATCGCCAGTCTTCTCTCTGTGGTGCACTGTCTCGTGATAGTTTCTGACATATGACCAAACCATCGGATCCTTCTCCCGTAATGTAGTTTTTCACTGGTCCTGCTCCCACGTGTTGTCTGGTATTGTCATTTCTGATCATGCCTCTCCTTGTTACATTTAGGATTCGCCCCCAACCCACTCTACCTAAGGAAAATATTTTTTGTGGTGAGGGTGGTAGGTAAGTGTGAGAATAAGTCTGTTGTTGTGAGGGTGGTAGGTAAGTGTGAGAATAGGTCTGTTGTTGTGAGGGTGGTAGGTAAGTGTGAGAATAAGTCTGTTGTTGTGAGGGTGGTAGGTAAGTGTGAGAATAGGTCTGTTGTTGTGAGGGTGGTAGGTAAGTGTGAGAATAAGTCTGTTGTTGTGAGGGTCGTAGGTAAGTGTGAGAATAGGTCTGTTGTTGTGAGGGTGGTAGGTAAGTGTTAGAATAGGTCTGTTGTTGTGACGTTTCGGTTTGGAAGCGAGAGCTTGGGCACGATGGAAAGACCGTGAGCGGGGAAAGGCGGCAGATAGGACATGTTCAGGATCCCCTCGAAGCCGGAAGAAGTCCAACATTTCCAGGGTCTTGTTGTGAAAGTCGTCGTTCTCCTGGCATAGTTTGCGGAGGCGTAGAAGTTAGGAGAACGGAAAGGATCCTTGCAAGAAGAGGGATGGGAGGACGTGTAGAGAAGAAAAGCGTGGGAATCAGTAGGCTTGTAGTGCATCGAGGTGCTAAGGCCCATAGAATTCACGGTGACAGTGAGATCCAGAAAATGCACCGACGAAGGTGAGATGCTAGAAGTGCATCGGATGCCAGGATGAAAGTTAGAGAAAAAATGAATAAAGTTCTGCAGTTCCTGCAGAAGCATATCGGTTACACCGATGCAGTCATCGATATCCCTCATGTAGAGCTCGGGGAGCCTACCGGTATATGCATGACGTATCTGGTGCTCGAGGTGCCCCATGAAGAGGCAGGCATAGCTGGGTCCCATCTTGGTCCACATAGCGACGCCGCTGATCTGGTTGAAATACTGGCCATTAAACTCGAATGAGTTTAGAGTAAGCACCAGCTCCGCCAGACGAATCAAAGGGTCAGTGGCTATGGCAGGACTGACTCTCTGATTTAGAAAGAACCGCAAAGCCTGGAGGGCATCCGAATGTGCAATAGAGGTGTAGAGGGAGGTAACATCTAAGGTGAAGATGTGGTACCTGGAAGAAGAGGTGAACCGGATAGACTGAAAGATAGAGATGTTGATGTCTCACCCACACATCAGAAGACCTACGCTCTAATTCAACGGTTCTCAACCTACGGGTCGCGACTTCTTTAGGGTCACAGAGGTCGCCTAAGACCACAGGAAAACACATATTCACACCAAAGTTAGGAAGTAGCAAAGAAAATAATTGTATGGTTGGTGTTCACCACAACATGAGGAACTGTATTAAAGGGTCGCAGCATTAGGAAGGTTGAGAACCAATGCTCTAATCCCCTACTTGTCTTCTAAGCGTGTGCTGGCTGTAAACTCCGGCAGAAAGTTCTGGTTGTTCGCCCACTTCTAACCTGTTACAAAATGTGAGTTTTGAGTGCACATCCGTTTTACAGATCTGGTTTATCTATATGTAGACTGTTGGTTCTTCGCCTCTCTAGCAGATGTTAAGGGGCATTAGTTCTTTCCATCCCCTTTCTCGTCTGAGGCCCCGGAACCCACACGAGGATCTTCTTCTTCTGCCTTCTAATACCCCAATGGAGCATAGGCTCCCACGAACGCATACAAAGTCGTTCTATTCTTCGCTATTGCAAGCAGTTCTTTCCATGTCCTCCCTATCTTTTTAACGTCTCTCTCTAGTTCCCTTCTCTATGCATTTTTGGCCCTCTTTTATTTCTAAGCCCCTGTGGGTTCCAGTGCAATGATGATCTAATTTTACTGTTGTTATTTTAAATGTACATGTTAGCATTTCCCTGAAAAAGAACTCGAACTTTTTATATCTTCATAAGAAAAAAGAAGAAAAAAGCACACAGGAATAATCCCTGTAATTCAAGAGATTTTGATCCTTCAGAGGTCAAATATCGAAATCGAAAGAGAGGTCATCGATGTAACCTAGCGACGGAGGGACTAACCGAGTTCATCAGAACCCACATCTAGGAAGCAAAAAAAATAATCGACATTGATCAATCGCCTGATTTGTCCCCTCTGAACTGCTACCTAAAGTTTTATCTTACCATCCTGAGATTAAATAAACTCGATCGGAATGGCAGAACAACGAGGCACATGGCAGATACCCCGGTCAATCGCCCCACCTCATTAAAAAAAAGTTATAATGAGGGCAACCGTTAGAGCTACATCAGCCAAGCGTAATCTACAGTCCTTTATGGATAAGTACAACCACACAAACGGACATTTTGCCACTCTTATCATTCACTACAACATGACACAAGAGATGAGATGGCGGCTAACACATTTTAACTATGAACACCGTGTGGTTCAAAAAGAGCAATATAATATGAGATGAGATGAGATTAGATGAAAGGGCAACTAACACATTCAAAACCTGAACACTGCATAGCACAACATGACATGAGATGAGATGTGATGAAAGGGGGAGTAACCTCTTAAACCTGAACACTGCATAGCACAACATGACATGAGATGATATGTGATGAAAGGGAAAGTAACCTCTTAAACCTGAACACTGCATAGCACAACATGACATGAGATGATATGTGATGAAAGGGGAAGTAACCTCTTAAACCTGAACGCTGCATAGCACAACATGACATGAGATGTGATGAAAGGGGGAGTAACCTCTTAAACCTGAACACTGCATAGCACAACATGACATGAGATGTGATGTGATGAAAGGGGGAGTAACCTCTTAAACCTGAACACTGCATAGCACAACATGACATGAGATGATATGTGATGAAAGGGGAAGTAACCTCTTAAACCTGAACACTGCATAGCACAACATGACATGAGATGATATGTGATGAAAGGGGAAGTAACCTCTTAAACCTGAACACTGCATAGCACAACATGACATGAGATGTGATGAAAGGGGGAGTAACCTCTTAAACCTGAACACTGCATAGCACAACATGACATGAGATGAGATGTGATGAAAGGGGAAGTAACCTCTTAAACCTGAACACTGCATAGCACAACATGACATGAGATGTGATGAAAGGGGGAGTAACCTCTTAAACCTGAACACTGCATAGCACAACATGACATGAGATGTGATGAAAGGGGGAGTAACCTCTTAAACCTGAACACTAAATGGCCACTGTTTAGACAAGAGGTCTTTAAAAAAAAAAAAACAATGGGGTCCCTAAAAGGCGTGGGTTTCTTAGACCCATACCTACCGGACTATTTGATAACCAACACTTAAAAAGTTGACTCACCTGATAAGCTCATGAAAAAGTGTGGACATAACTGCTGCCCCTATACCACTTCCTGCCACCAATATCATTTCTGCTAACTCCCGTTTCCGCCGGAAGTACCTTCCAACCATGATGTTTGCCGTTACTATAGTGACGCCACATCCAAGTGACAACACAACGCAGTGGCTAATGAATAGTTGCTCCGGCTGTGTGGAAAAAGCTAAGAACAGGCACCCGAGAGCGCAGACCAATCCACCGATGACTCCATAAAGTCGAGGAGACTTTCTTCTGCACAAAGTGGTGACAATGGGTGCGATTAAGAGTGATACAGCCATCCCCAAACTGCCAAGCCATGCTGTGACAGAGAAATTAAGTTCATGTTTTAAAATTCTTAAATCAGAGGCAAATCTTCAATCCGAGGTACTTATCTGGAAGGAAGAGCTTGAGAAGATAGGGATGATTACTGATTACTGATAACTGACTCAAGAACTGTTATCATAGCACATAGTGCATACCAGTAGATGATTTGTCTCCTCCAGCAAGTCTCTTAAGGTAAGGTAAAGGTAAGGTAAAGGTAAGGTAAAGGTAAGGTAAAGGTAAGGTAAAGGTAAGGTAAAGGTAAGGTAAAGGTAAGGTAAAGGTAAGGTAAAGGTAAGGTAAAGGTAAGGTAAAGGTAAGGTAAGGTAACGGTAAGGTAAAAGTAAGGTAAAGGTAAGGTAAAGGTAAAAGTAAGGTAAAGGTAAGGTAAAGGTAAGGTAAAGGTAAGGTAAAGGTAAGGTAAAGGTAAGGTAAAGGTAAGGTAAAGGTAAGGTAAAGGTAAGGTAAAGGTAAGGTAAAGGTAAGGTAAAGGTAAGGTAAAGGTAAGGTAAAGGTAAGGTAAAGGTAAGGTAAAGGTAGGGTAAAGGTAGGGTAAAGGTAGGGTAAAGGTAAGGTAAAGGTAAGGTAAAGGTAAGGTAAAGGTAGGGTAAAGGTAGGGTAAAGGTAGGGTAAAGGTAGGGTAAAGGTAAGGTAAAGGTAAGGTAAAGGTAAGGTAAAGGTAGGGTAAAGGTAGGGTAAAGGTAGGGTAAAGGTGAGGTAAAGGTGAGGTAAAGGTGAGGTAAAGGTGAGGTAAAGATGAGGTAAAGGTGAGGTAAAGGTGAGGTAAAGGTAAGGTAAAGGTAAGGTAAAGGTAAGGTAAAGGTAAGGTAAATGTAAGGTAAATGTAAGGTAAAGGTAAGGTAAAGGTAAGGTAAGGTAAAGGTAAAGGTAAGGTAAAGGTAAGGTAAAGTAAAGGTAAGGTAAAGGTAAGGTAAAGGTAAAGTAAAGGTAAGGTAAAGGTAAGGTAAAGGTAAGGTAATGGTAAGGTAATGGTAAGGTAAAGGTAAGGTAAAGGTAAGGTAAAGGTAAGGTAAAGGTAAGGTAAAGGTAAGGTAAAGGTAAGGTAAAGTAAAAGTAAGGTAAAGGTAAGGTAAGGTAAAGGTAAGGTAAAGGTAAGGTAAAGGTAAGGTAAAGGTAAGGTAAAGGTAAGGTAAAGGTAAAGGTAAGGTAAGGTAAAGGTAAGGTAAAGGTAAAGTCGGGAGATGTGAACCAGCGTCATTGCACACGGTTATAAACCATAAGTACTCTGCCACCAGTACGGATAGCTGATAAGAAACTGTCCCCCTGTGTCGCCGTCCGCACGTAACTCCGTAGCTGCAGCGATGTTCCTCCATTCACCCCAAGTGTCAACTCTGGTACCCATTTCCAAAAGGCTGGGTGAACCTCGGGAACCGCCCGGTTTCGAACACCAACCGTGGCTGCAGCGAATCGCAGCTGGATTTGAAAACGAGCATCCTATCGGCTACGCTAATGCGGCTCCATATATCTCTTAAGGTGTAGATGCTAACTGTTCCGGTAGCAAACTGATTATACACACGTCGTTTTCTTCATCTCACCCGTCCCTCCTTGCCGGGTCCACTCCTAATTCCCGGTTCACACATTCTTGCCCACGTTATTTCAGCTAATCTCGAGTCATCTGTCAACATCCGTTCACTATGATCTTCAGAATATCTTCCTTGTCCAGTGCGAGTGTACCCGTAGCTATCACTTTTGTAGTAAGAAACACCACTCTTTCTTTTGAGGTTTGAGTTTTGAACAAAAGATCAACATCATGGTACACGGGTAGTAACCCATAAATGCTCCGTTCTTTTTCTAACTCAAATCTGAGTCAGAAGAAGCTCAGCACAGTGCACAGGCTCTGTAGCACAGGCGATGATCCTGAAATACTTTGGGTAGATTAAAAAAAGAATTGTTTGCCCGGGCAGCGCCGCTAGGCTGCTCTTTGAGTTTCACTTCCTCGCACTCTTGCAAACTAGCTATCCAGCTAGCCAACCAATCTGTAAATCAACTAACTGATTAACTAACTATTAATTAACAAAATAACTGAATAATCAATCAATCAAATACCTAATTAATTAACTAAATAAACAACCAGACAAAAAACCAACTAGCACTAGTTACCACTAGCACCTAATGAAACAAATACACTGCAGCCACAATGAATATCTAACCAGCCAAACATAATCAACTCTGGCAAATGTTTCTGACCAGGTAGCTGTGAATGTGCCCGTGTGTCACCGGGGCCCTCACAGTATGCAAAGAACAGTGACACTGCACCCTACCAGGCATGTCGTAAGAGGTGACTAAGAGTAGGGTTGGGCTTGAGGTTGGCTACCTCATCCTGTAAAAACAATAGCCACAAAAACTAACCAACCATGGATAAATCAACAAGAGAAGCAAGTAAAACCCAGGCAACCAAATGAGGGGAGGCTCTTCAAGTAAACCGAGCCGACCAAGATGAGGGGAGACTCTTCAAGGAAAAGAAGTATGACACGGTTTGGAGAAAGCCGAAACGAGTCCGGATCGTTGACATACCTCCTCTCAACTAGTAAAACCTCCAGAACTGGCACCTGGAATGTTAGAACCGTTTACGATACATAGATAAGAGAGCTGGAGAATGAAGTTAGAAAGATGGGGAGGACATGGGGAGAGCTGCATGCGATCAAAGGACAGAACGACTTGGCGTGAGTTGGTTGAGGGCATATGCTCCATTGGGAGCTAGGTTAGTTGCGTATCCTTTTTACAGGACGTTGCAGAACCAACCCCAGCAGCCCCTGGCTGTTCTGTGGTTTCTCTAGGTAAATTTTCGTCTAGTAGTTATTGGGGGCTAGAAAGACATAAAAAGAAGAAGCTGTGAATGTGTTTCTGAGCACTCACCTGTCTGCAGGTCCGAGATGGGCGTGTACTTGTCGACAACGGTGAGGTACAAACTGCCATAGGCCAGGTGGAAGCCGCTGCACAGAACGTGAACAACAGTGGCAGCTGCTAGCACCACCCAGCCCCACCCACCATCCGGATAGTAGTCACCAAAGTCTACGCGACTTACTGGCTTCACTTCCTGTTGAGTAAGAGAACTGTGTCATTCATCGAGGTATTTCAAAAGCTCATGTAAATGGCGATACAAAAGAGTTAAAATTACAGTGAAGAGGATCGACTGCATTGCATCGGCGTTATCCTGCATAACTTAGGGCAGTCCCGTGCTGTGATATAGAGACGAGGCCGCATCAGGCGGCATCGTAAGGGGTAAGAAGGAGGGCGGCGTTAGCAGCGAAATCAAAACACAATTTGAACTTCTAACCTCACAGCGCGAAGGTATCAGAGGCGGCATTCCAAAGTCCTGTATCATACTACAGGAGACTGCTCGGCCCCTCCGCGCAGAACAGATATATCGCCTGCCGAGACCATCGACAGCGTCGCATAAAGCATCAATTCCACAGCCCCAGCGACGGTCAACACAGATCTCTGTGATACAAACCCACGACCTTCTGAGCTAGAAGAAAACAGCTTGACCACTTCGCCAAGGAGACTCCCTAAGACAAAGAGTTGGTTGATATCCTGCAAGTTGAGACAGAGCTAGTGCTAAATTACATCAACAGACAATAGATCAAATCGCTGGGACATGTGTCAAAACTATCACAAAAGATAACCCCGTGACTTCAACACAACGTAAGCAGAGCTAGCGAATTGAGTTGAGTTGAGTCAAGAATTGACATTACAGCACTCGAGGCATTCCCATACGCGCTCCGTCCCTATCCTCAGCAGCCAGTGCAGAGTTCCAATACTAGGTGCCAGTTGTAGTCTGGTTGTATGTCCGTCTTGCCTTTCCTCTGAGCATAGTGTGCCGGCCGAATCCTCTAGTCACACCCAGGTGCATCATTCGCTCCAGCCCATAATATTCTAGTTTCTTTTCTGACTTCGTTACTTGTTCCTAAAGGGCTATGACCACATCTGCCTTGTCACATATCAATTCACCACTCAGCGGTGCAGATTCAGCCAGTCTGTCTGCCTGTTCATTCCCCACCACACCGGCATTGCCTGAAGAAAAGATCTAATGTATGCTCACTACCTGTGACCTTACAAATGACGCTTGCCACTCTGCTCGAAGCAATCCCGTTTTTCAGCATGCTTTCAGATGCTGTTAGAATTACGACATGTGTATGCATATTGTTCTCTAGCCACCGGCAATCTGCAGTGGCCGCCTCCACCTCCATTCAAATTGCAAGCGTTTACGCTAGACATAAGTTTATGTAATATCCGAGGCCGAGAATACCAGCATCACCTAGCACACCAATGCATGCAGCGGATGCTACTTAAAAACCAGACGCTGAAAGACGGAACGAGATCTAGTGAGAAGAAAGAACGAATAAAAAAGTCAAAGTGAGTTTCCGTAGATGAAAACACACAGAAGAATAGTTTGTATTTTATGGATGCAAAAACTACACAATACAAGAGTTTTGAAGAGACGTCCTATGACCTAAAAAAAAAAAAAAACCCAGCCGAAATAAACCAAAGACAAATACAATATTTCAGCCACATGATTAACCATATTTTTATACAAGCTACCCGCAGGAAAAAGTTAAAATCAGGCAGGCTTGAGACAAACAGCGATACGAATGGGAAGATAATATTAGGACAAAACGAACAATAGTCTGGGAAAGTGTATACCCAAAACTAGAGAGTTTCAGAGGGTGAAACTCCCCGAAAGCTCCTGGGTCTAAGGAAGTCTTGTTGCAATCCAGCGGAGGGGAGAAGTGACTGCCTCCACCTCCATTCTCAAACTAGACGTTATGATATCATGTGCCAGGCTTTGTTGCACTAAGCGACGACAGTCTTGGAAAGTGTACAGCTAGAACTAGAGAGTTTCAGCGGGTGTAACTCCTCCGAAAACTCCTGGGTCTAAGGAAGTCTTGTTGCAATCCAGAAGAGGGGAGGGCATGGCATCATTCATTTGTTTCGCTTTATAAGACGGCGACTGTGGCTTAGTCGTTGCGAACGCTTTGTAATGCTGGTGTGCCGGGTTTGATCCCAGCTGCAAGCCTTACGCCGGTTTCGACAGTGGTATCGATAGGCTGACCGTCCAGGAAGCAACGGCAAACTAATGGACGTAGATTTACCTAGAGAAACCACAATAGCCAAAAAATGCTATGGTTGGTTCTGCAACGTTCTGTAAAGGATTAAAGGCCAGTTGCGTATTTAGTAGGCAATGTCCAACTCATCATCACGTAGCAGGTCCTTTGCAGAACGTCGCTCTCCTCAAAGTATGCCTGAAAGAAACTCAGTCTCTCGTCAGTTTTCCTGCCTCATGTACTTTCATACTCAAGGAGTCACTTATATCCTAAGCCCATCTTCGTGTCGCTCGGCCCCTGCCCCTCCTTCCTGGTATCATGCCTTTTACTATAATTTTTTTCCAGTTCGTCGTGGCGCTTGATATGACCAAAATATTTCAGCTGCCGAGTCAAACTACTTAACGTAAAATTTTCCTAGAAAAACCATAACAGCCCAGAGATGCTGGAGTTGGTTCTGCAAGGATACACAGCTAGCTTTTTATTTTAAAAACAGTCCTTATGCCGTAATGCGTCGCAGAGGTGAGTTATATGTAGTTTTTTGCCTTTTGCCTGTTGCATAGCTTGTGTTAATGTCATTCAACGTTTCTGTAGTTGTCTCCCTCCCCCCTATACCTTTCTTGTTCGGCTTCCTGCCTTGTCGCCTGCTGTTCTCATGTAGCAGGTGTTGTCCGATTTTGTTACATTCTGACCAGATGACTAAACCCTTTGATTCTTTGGTGTCTTATGGAACCATTCACAAGTAAGTAAGTATCCCTTTTCCCGCCTTTAGGGGCATCCGGCATGTGGGAAGAGCATCCATGTTTTTATAGACCAATCGGCACTCGGTGGGTAATGTGGTCAGCATTAGGCCGGCCGTCTTTGCTATCCTGGACATACATCCTAGTACCCATTTTAGGCTGGGTCGACATGCGACGTCCTATACCATGATAAAAAGTCCAGCAGTGAGTTTCGATCGCATTCACCGGTAATCTGCCGTATAATCGTATATTGTTCCTAATTCTCAATTGGTAACTGTTTCTTCTTGTTTTCTCCCAACGCAGGTCTTATACATCTCACCCCCAGACGTTGTTTTTCTGCGTTTATTTTCTTATAGGACTATCCATGCTTGATATCACAAAAGCTGGTATGGACAGCGAACTTAGCTACTTCTGTGTGTGCATGTTGATCTTTAGATGTAATAAAAGTGGCGCAATTTGGCCATTATACTGTTGAACTATTTAAGGTCAGGGAAAAAAAGGCGAAGGAGACTTTTTAGCCAAAGGCGAATCAGGGATATAGAGTTAAACCCATATTTGTATGCATTTTATAGATGATGAGGTCAACATTCACCGACCGCCTTTACTTCCCATGACACGCCCTACTACCCCATTTAGGCGGTAGTCTAACTGCAAACACAAGATTCTTCTACTTCTTTTTTCTTGTTTTGCAGTCGCCTTTCAAAGGGCGGTTGGCACGCTGTGTTGTGAATGACAACTAGGCTGTCATATCTGCACCTTTTGGTGGGGAAAACAAGAACAGACCCACTGCATCCCCCAAAAGCATGTCGTAAGAGTCGACTAATTGGGAGCCTCCTTTGAAGTCGGAGTGAATCTGCGTTGGAAGAAGAGGAACCAACAGTCCGCATACATATAAGTCAGATATGTAAAACGGATGCACATGCAACTCAGGTTCTGGAACAGTACTGTAGTCCAGAAGTGGATGAACAACCAGAAAATTCTGTCGGGGTTTACAGCTGGTGAACGCGAAGAGGAAGAAGAAGACGAATTACGATATGCTTGTCAGGCGACAGTGGGTCCAATCCAACACCCACCCCCCCCCCCCCCCCGCCACCCTACTTTTTGTAAGATGAGTTCTTAACTAAGAACTCACACAAATGGTACCCGGTAACCCACATTGGTACTGAACCCTAGCAAACCAAAAAGTAGTTTACCTGTATACCCATAGCGTCCCTCTTTCGCTGTGAAGCCGACGATGAAGTGTCTGTGAAAGCTGTAGTGGCACCTGTTTGTGTCGGCGAATGGCCACAAGATGTGACCACAGCCCCGGGACTAAAACTGTTGCCGCTCTCCTCACTGCCTGTCCTGGTCAGCGGATGACACTCCCCAAAAGCCGCAGGGTCTGGGGAGGTCTTGTTGTTATGTAGCGTAGGCGAGGGCATGGCAGCCCGGTGCAGACGGGCATCCCCGCATTCAACGCACGTAGCGTCGAAGATTTTACACTCGTTATGCGTTGTGACCTTCGTGATGGCAAAGGTTGGGGTCACGCTTATGACGGCAGTGACATGTCCTCTTTAATATGAAGAAGTAGCGAACAGGCTGGTGGAAAGTTATCTCTAAGGTTGACACAAGTTTTCTCCCAGACTGGTTGAAAGTTGTCGCCAAGTTTGGGTATGAGTTATCTGTACATCCGGCTTAAAGTTTTCTTTAAGGTTGACAACAGTTTTCTCTCAGATTGGTTCAAAGTTGTCGCCAAGTTGTTGGTGAAAGTTATCTCTACGTCCAGCTGAAAGATTTCTCTAAAGCCGACACAAGTTTCCTCTCAGACCGGTTGAAAGTTGTCGCCAAGTTTTGTGTGAAAGTTATCTCTACGTCCGGCTGCAAACTTTCTCCAAGGCTAACACAAGTTTTCTCTCAGACTGGTCGAAAGTTGTCGCCAAGTTTTGGGTGAAAGTTATCTCTACGTCCGGCTGCAAACTTTCTCCAAGGCTAACACAAGTTTTCTCTCAGAGTGGTCGAAAGTTGTCGCCAAGTTTTGGGTGAAAGTTATCTCTACGTCCGGCTGCAAACTTTCTCCAAGGCTAACACAAGTTTTCTCTCAGACTGGTCGAAAGTTGTCGCCAAGTTTTGGGTGAAAGTTATCTCTACGTCCGGCTGAAAGTTTTCTCTAATATTGACTTAAGGTTTTCTCTAAGACTGGTTGAAAGTTTCTCTTGCGTGTCCCAATGATGTCGGGTTTTCTGATTACTCTTCTTACACAAGCGACACGGTAACCACTATACTTGTCCTAGTTTCTGAAGATACCGATTTTATAGAGCAATTATAAACGACCTTAAAACAAAAATCCAAATGATGTAAACTAGGACCGTTTGCTAATCCATCCACATTTTAATCAGATACATGTGAACTAGTAAATAGGCCAGGTAGTTGAAGACACTTCTAGGACAATCAGCTATAGGAACTATGTCTGGAAATTTGTCCTAAGTCCTTGCTGGCAACTAAATCAATCACAACTTCACTGGGTTGAATGTTCCAGTTCAGACCTGAGACGGTATCCTGTACAAATAGAAACACAAACTCATCAAAACAGTGAAAGCTGATTCAACATTCAAAAAAACAAGGATATGAAAATTGTCCAAATTCTTTTTCTTATTCTGTTTCTTCTTCTTCTTCCTTTTCTTCCATTTTTCCTCTTCAAAATCTTCTTCTTAATCTTTTTCTTCTTCCTCTTCTTCTTCTTCTTCTTCTCCCCTTCTTCTTTCTTTCTTTCTCTTCTTCTTTTTCCTCTTCAAAATCTTCTTCTTCTTCTTCTTCTTGATTCTTCTTTGTCTTCCCCTCTCTTGTTCATCTTCTTCTTCTTCTCCTCTTCTTCTTTTCTTTCTTCTTTTTCTTCTTCTTTCTTCTTCTTCCTTCTTCTTCTTCCCCTTCTTCTTCTTCTTCTTCTTCTTCTTCTCCTCTTCTCTTCTTCTCCTCCTTCTTCTTCTTTTCTTCTTCTTCTTCTTCTCTTCTTCTTCTTCTTCTTCTTCTTCTTCTTCTTCTTCTTCTTCTTCTCTTCTTCTTTCTTCTTCTTCTTCTTCTTCTTCTTCTTTTACTTCCTCTTATCCTTCTTCTCCTCCTCTTCTTCTTCCTCTTCTTTTTTCCCTTCCTCCTTTTCTTCTTCCTCTTCATCTTTTTTTTCCTCCTCCTCTTCTTTCTCTTCTTCCTCTTCCTTTCCTCCTCTTTCTCTTCCCATCCTTCTCCTCTTCGTCTTTCTCTTCTCCTTCCTCTTTTTCTTCTTAACTTCCTCTTCTCGTTCCTCTTCTTCTTCTTCTTCGTCTTCTACTACTTCTTATCTTCTTCTTCTCCTTCTGCACAGACTTTGAAAGTTCGGGCCTAAGCCAGCGTAATGCCCACAAGCTCGGCTGGCAATTGAGAACTGACCCTCTCAGAGTGCCAGGCCATCTCTTCCATGTCATCCTTTATACACAATACTCATTCATAACATACCATCTCCATATTTTTAACATAAACCATCAACACATTTCAGGCTTTAAAAGTAACATGAAATCTAACAACACCTACAGTGTATTTTCTGTTTTGGAGCTTATTCCTAGATTGTTATAAAGCCGGAATTAAACTAAACACACACACACACACACAAAAAAGGAAGGTTCCGATGAAAACTATATGGTGCTATCTTTTTAGCCTACCACAAATGACGTCAAGGGACATTCCAATTTTTTTAGAGGGTGGTTTGAGCGGGTTTTCTGTGCTTCAGCGCATTTCTTCCAACTCCAAGGTTTTCGCGCGTTTACCTAACCCTAACCCTATCTCTAACCCTAACCCTATCTCTAACCCTAACCCTATCTCTAACCCTAACCCTATCTCTAACCCTAACCCTATCTCTAACCCTAACCCTATCTCTAACCCTAACCCTAACCCTATCTCTAACCCTAACCCTAACCCTATCTCTAACCCTAACCCTATCTCTAATCCAAAACCAAAACTATACGCTTAATCTACCACCACCTGAAATATTTGACCGTCCTGTAACCTGTGAATTTCCCTTGTTTGTGGTCGGCTAATAAGAAAGTTCCAGCGGCACGTATAGTCACCCTAAACGACACAAATTGTGAGCTACTGAACTTATCGCTAATAAAACCAGACCACTATGTTAATCGAAGCTGTTCTTGGCAGGGTTGAACATGGTCAAATTGTTGCCTCCTCCCCAACTAACAAAGACAACACGCCTGGGTGTATCCGAGCGACCGCAAACAAGTCACATTAATCAGACCCGAACACTTCTACATAGCTACCAGCATCCGGGAACCTTCCTTCCGACCACACGATCTACGATGGGGGGTCAATAACCGAAAACGACAGACAGGGCCCAAAATACACTATCGCCGCAATGTTGCAAACGTGTTGCGGCTCGGACAAGCGAGTATGGGCCGTCCGTCCGGTTCCACAGATATACGGAATGCGACTGCCAAGAAACCGGTGCGTGACGTCAGTGGCTGACCTAGTGTGTTGACATTATTCATTAGTGCTAAAAAGGCTGCAAGAAACGCTGCAGTGTTTATTGTTTATTTATAAGTCTGTGTGTTTGTTTATCTCCACCTCCTTGTTTATTTGCTTGACCGTATGTCTGTTACTTTTATAACGTCTTTCAGTCAACATGTATATTCTTAGTCTGTCTGCATATATTTCAGTCTGTCTGTATACCTTTCTGTCTGACTGTGTGCCTTTCTGTCTGTCTGTCTGTCTGTCTGTCTGTCTGTCTGTCTGTCTGTCTGTCTGTCTGTCTGTCTGTCTGTCTGTCTGTCTGTCTGTCTGTCTGTCTGTCTGTCTGTCTGTCTGTCTGGTCTGGCTGTCTGTATGCATTTCTGTCTGTCTGTCTGTGTGTCTGGAACTGCTTATCTATATGGTCTCCGTTGCGAAGTGGTCAAGCTGTTTTCCTCGCGCTCTGAACGTCGTGGCTTTTGTTCACGGCTGCGCAGTTCACAAGTCCAATTTTGTTTACGGAGATCTGTGGGGCACGCCGCCGGAGCTACGAATTTCGTGCTTTGTGCAACGCTCTCGACATGCGGCTTCCTGTTCTGCAAAACAAGGCGGAGCTATATCGATAAAACCTGATGCAATAAAGACGATCCTCTCGACTTTAACCTTTATACCTAGATCCTCGCCGTGTGGGTCTCGGATCCCCGCCGTGTGGGTCTCGGATCCCCGCCATGTGGGTCTTGCAGCCCCATTGTGGGAAAATAAAAAAATAAAAACCCACTGCTTCCCCAGCAAGCATGTCGCAGGAGTCTACTAACTGAGAGCTTCGAAGTGCATCTGCCCAAGCGACAAGGAACAACACACTTCACACAAATAAGCCAGTAAAACGGACGTACGCGCAAAAAACTCAGGCCCTGGCACAAAGCCAAAGTCCAAATGGGCGAACAACCAGGACTTTCCAGGTCTTTCAGTTTGCAAATATATATCTGAGTCCGTCTGCATATATTTCACTCGGTCTGTATGTCTTTTGGTTTCTACGTTTGCATAATTATTAAACAATCATCATCATGTAACAGGTCCTTTGCAGAAGGCTGCTCTCATCACAGCCTGCATAAGAGTCTCAGTCTCTCACCAGCTCTCGCGCCTCGAGCTCTTTTCTACCCAAGGCATCACTTGAGTCCGATGCCCATCTTCATGTTGGTTGGTGTCTTGTCTTTCTTTCCAGTTATCATGTTTTCTGCTACTATTTCCCCTCTTTCCACAACTAAAAAAAAAAAAAAAAAACGCCTCGGTGTATCTAAGCTCTGCCCTGTAGGCGACTAACAACGACGGAAATGACTAATATAAACTCCTACCGAGCTAAATAATTCTTGACTGAGTATATTTTCAGGAAGATGAAGACAACGAAAACCACCAAAGGCCACCGACGCTCTGAAGCAGATAGCCGAGTGCATTGTCCCAAAGAGGACCAGGACTCGGGGATTCCAATCTTTCTTTCGCCGCCCTGCCCACACACCACATGTGTTTAAATGTTGCTTAGCATACCTTTAGTCTGATTTCAAACCACGAAACCTTAACCCACCATCATCCTAACAAGATATCTGTCACTCTCAGTCTTCCGACTTCACTATCAAATCTCTTGGCACATTCGAGCTATCAGTTCTATTTTTTTGCAACCCATGGTAACTCCACGAGAGAGAGAGAGAGAGAGAGAGAGAAGAGAGAGAGAGAGAGAGAGAGAGAGAGAGAGAGAGAGAGAGAGTGTGTGTGTGTGTGTGTGTGTGTGTGAGAGTGAGAGAGAGAGAGAGAGAGAGAGAGAGAGGGGGGGGGGGTCGGACTGATCACAAAAACAGATCGTGACGGCCCTGGTTGTCCTGAAAAGGAACAGTGTATGGAGACGGTGGTTCCTGTTGTCTGTTTTGGTCTTTTCCCGGCGGCTTCACAGAGCGGTAACCCAGGCTGG